AAGTTCTTGTGCAAAGTCAGACTTGATATCTGACAGTTTCTGACTATTCAGATATGTGTAATGTTAATAGGGTTAATACATAAATAAGCTGAAAAATAAATAAATAGATGGGTGAGTATTCTGAGGTAGAAAAGGCGAGATGAAACTTACTATTTTTGGATTGTTCTAACTCTGAAAATATGAAGAAAATATGAAAGAATGTTGTTTATTTTCAGTATTCTCATTACTATTACAAGATTATGTGACACCTCACAAGTGTGAATAAATCAAGTTTTGAGCTTCTCCAAAAACAGAATGAACGGAAGTTAACACTGTTTTTAGTACAAGTTATAGGAGAGCTGTTGACATTATTGTACTAACAAGGACATTATTTATTCTTTTGGAACCTTTTAGGGGATAGTAATAAGACATTTAAAAATCAGACAATGTATTTTATTGATATATTAGATAATATATTTCATTAATATGTTAGCTTATATATTTTGAAATAATAATATGAAATGCATCTGCTGTGTTAGATAATGTATTTGCCATTTAATGTTATGTATCTTGGAGAACTCTACCAATGAAAATGCCAGTTTCAAAGGTTTAAACAATTATTAGATTAATAAAAGTTAAGATTTCATACCTTATATTCAAATTTATGATTTATGATGTATTTCTTAAAATTGAGAACAAGAAAAATATTAAAGAATTATCTATGTATACTTTGTTTTAGTAGTCGGAAGCAAAAATATATATGTAACATAAATAATTTTATATTGCCACAAATAATACCTCCTGAAATATAATACTGTATACCCTAACTCTAATTAAATTTATTATAAATATTCTGTATAAAGTTCAATAACAGTAAACTAAGCAGTTCTTTGCATATATATATATATATATATATATATATATATATATATATATATATATATATATATATATTTATATTTATATATATATATATATATATTTATATTTATATATATTTATATTTATATTTATATATATATATATATATATATATATATATATATATAAATATATATATATAGCAATAGCTCAGTGGTTAGAGCACTGGACTCCGACCCTCGTGGTCCCGGGTTCAATTCCCCATCGCGGCAGTCGTAAAAAGGCCTGCGCTCTGACTGCTAGTTCGAGCCCGAGAAAACGACATATCGGCTTGAGAAGTCAAACGTAGGTGTCGTAGGGGAAGTCACCGCCGTGGTAGAAGTGTTAACGCGCCGAACCGCGGTTGATTAGGAAGGGCATTCAATATGGCAAGGGTGACACTGCCACATACTCTCAATACTGAATTGAGAGAGGCCTATGTCCTGCAGTAGAATGAATGGCTGTTGAAAAAAAAAATAAAAAAATAATAAAATATGTTTAAATATATATTTATATATATGTGTGCGTGTGTGTGTGTTTTATATGTGTGTATATATATATATATATATATATATATATATATATATATATATATATATATAAATATATATATATATATATATATATATATATATATATATATATATATATGTATATATATATATTTATATGTATATATATATATATATATATATATATATATATATATATATATATATATATATATATATTAATATATTATTGTTGTATTGGGGGGAGACGGAGACTGGGGCTCAACGTAGCCATGATACTCAGACGCGACAGGCTCTGTGCCACTGGCACTCTCGGAAACAATCAATAGAGGTACCGAAGTCATTCTTCACAGAATCAGATTAGCTTACCAATCCGCATGGCAGATCATACAAACAATTGACTATACAGACAGGTGTTGCGCCACCATGGTATATTACTTACAGAGTTGTGAGCACACTCAATTTCTGAGATGGGGACTACCCACAACATCATGGCGCCAGGAGCGCCTACTGGTAATCCCCCGCCACCCCGGTAAGCATCGGATGTCAGAGAACAATATAAATAGCTGACACAGGCCGGGCCATATATATGGAAGGGCCGGGCGAAGCTAGATCTTAGCAAATCTCAACAATAATAATAATACAAGCTCGAATGTGAGGTAGCCACTCTCAGATTTGAACTAGCCCTCACTGTACGTGAGGCCAGACAAGAAGCACGCCGACGAGGTTTTTCTCTTTCTACCTTTTCGAAAACTGTCCTTTGCTCCGCTTCCCTTCCATCTTCTCA